AGAGAGATTTTGTGGTGTTGTTGGTGTACCATAACGGGACAGGGTGGTTGTTCTCTCTATCTCCTCTTCTAGCTCTTAGCATGAGCTGCGCCCGGTGTCCGACCCCTTTTGCGCAGCAACACCTTAAACTTTTAGGCCCTCCAAATTCGGGTCGGAGCGTAGCGGAGTGGGCCCCGAGTTTGAAAAGGGCGACGGACGCTTGCGTCCTAGCCTCCAACAACGCCTCCCCGGCGCAGAGGGGCCCCCGGAGGGATGCACAACCGCTCCACGCCACGCCGCTTGCGGCGGTCCTCTTCCCAGCTCCGCTGAGGGCCCGTGCGTTATTTCGCTTGCTCGGCTGGAGCCGGAACCTTGGCAGGCCCGAAGTAATCATCCACCCTCATGGTGGCTGCGACTGGGTGCCGCATTTCGCTCTCGTTCGCCGCGCCTCGGCTCCTGATTCCGGCATCCACAGCACGGGCGTTCGCCACGGCCTCCGCATTCTTCCCTGACATAGACAAGGTTCGCTACGAAGGGCCGTCGTCCCGCAACCCGCTCGCCTTCAAGCAGTATGCCGAGGACGAGGTTGTGGCCGGGAGAACGATGAAGGAGTGGCTAAGATTCAGTATTGCGTACTGGCACACATGGCGCGGGAACGGCGGCGACATTTTCGGACTCGACGGCACCATCAACCGACCGTGGGAGGACAGAGCGCTCAGGTGCGTCCTCACCTCTCGCCTCCTCGCCTCCTCGCCTCTCCTCGTCAGCTCTCGCTCAGCTCTCGCCTCCCGCCTCCACTGCGCAGCGAGATGGACATGGCGCTGCGGCGGGTGGACGTCAACGCGGAGTTTTGCGAAAAGGTCGGCGCACCGTACTACTGCTTTCACGACCTTGACGTCCGGCCCGAGGGCGCAACGCAGGCCGAGTCCGACGCAAACTTTGACATCATCGCGGAACGGCTGGGCGAGGTCCAGGCGGCGAGCGGCCTCAAGCTGCTTTGGGGGACCGCAAACCTCTTCACGCCGCGCCGGTACATGAATGGCGCCGCCACGAATCCGGACCCGGTACGCGCCACCGGCGCACGCCCTCGCCACGCGTGCGCCCACCGCAGCGCCCACCGCAGCGCCCGCGCCCCGCCAAAGGCGGTGTTCGCGCGTGCTGCGGCCTCGGTCAAGAAGTGCCTCGAGGTGACGCACCGGCTGGGCGGGGAGAACTACGTGCTCTGGGGCGGCCGCGAGGGCTACCAGTCGATCCTCAACACGAACGTGCGGCTCGAGCTCGACAACCTCGCCCGCTTCCTCTCGATGGTGGCCGAGCACAAGCACAAGGTCGGCTTCCGCGGCCCGCTGCTGCTCGAGCCCAAGCCGCGCGAGCCAATGGCGCATCAGTACG